ATGCAGGCTGGATGCAAAAAGGGCTTTAAGGCTTCATTAGGGCTTCAGGGTTCTAGGGTTGAGGGGTTTAAGGTTTAGGCTTTTGGGGTTAGGGTGAGGTTTTCGGATTTGCTGCAGGTCGAAAGTAGAGCGCAGAGAGGCCCGAAGGTCCAGCATGATTCCGTAGCATGTTTCCCTAGGGATCTAAGGACTCATATATTAAGGCTTTTGGGCCCAAAGACCATACTATATAAGGCTTTTGGGCTATTTTGATCCCTAGGGTTTTGTCCCAGAGTGAGGCATGTGCTAGCTGGTGTGCCGAGCCTACTTCACTTGCACGTTGCTTTTCTAAAATCCCTCCTGCAAGCCTGTACTTGGCCATACCCTGAACACCATCGTGGACCGATAGACCAGACTTCCTGCTGTGAGTGAGATCGCGACCCAACCCTAAAGCCAAACCAAACACTCCTCAACACAAAAGTTGAGGCTGTACCTTAAACCTTGTAAACCCGAAACCGTAAAAACCTTATGAATACCCTAAACCCTATAAACCGAATACCCTTAGCCCTTTAAGCCCTACATGCCCTAAAGTGGAGGCCCCACCTTTTCTGACCAACCGGGAAGCAGCCGACGAGTGGCTCGCTGCTCGCATTCCCGTGGAGGCCCTTCTGCGACTTCAACTGGGCTCTCGTTAAGGAATGCATGTTTATAAGTTTTCAAAAGAGGGATCTATATTAGATAATGCGGTTTCCTTCTTTGTTCCATTATACAGAACCCAATCAAGGTTCGCGGTTCTGAAGGGATTAGAGGTTCCGTTTAGGAAGGTGTACCAGAAAGCCTGAACTAGAGCACAGCCGCAGACCCTTTGAATGTGAACGCGATGTGCGCGGACTCGGAGGTTGCCGGAATCGTGCCTGGGGCGAGCCGAATCCATTAATCCTGAGCCCTCAGCCTAAACGATGGCCTAGCGACCGCGTGGTATACCCAGTGAACACAAACCCTCCTGCAGGTTTGGGGTGTAGAGTTCGGAGAACTCTACATTGGGTCTGTATGTCAAGGCTGCGTACGATGACTCTTAGACAAGAGGGTTTCGAGTAACTTGGCAGGCTTGCTGTTGTAATGGTCCCGAACGTCGAACAGCTCATCTCAAGCCGCCCTCGCTTGTCAGGAAGCTCGAGCTACTGTTCGGCCTGACGGTACGTTGCAGCCACTCGCTGCGGCATGGAGGGGCCTTAAATTCGAGAAAGGTTGATAAGTAAATTGCAAACTGAGCCCTTATCCAAGGTAGGTGGAGGGTGCTAGAGGGCTTGTTGATTTGCTTCAGAGTTAGCTAGCATGTATGTTTGCGGTTTCGGTTTGCGGCTACGCATAGGCTCCATCGTAGGTCCTTTTGGGGATTACCTTATAGGATCCTAAATATAAACCACGAAGAGGAACTACAAGGGAGCCTATAGGTACTCGCATAACCCACAAGGGATTTGGTTTGGAGTTCCGCGGTTCACATCAGGCTAGCACAGTCTCCACTTCCTTGGTTGGGCGGAGGAGGCGGGCACCTGGAGCCTTGAAATCCTAGCTAAACCCCAAACCCTAAACTATACATCCTAGAAGCCCTATAAGCCCTGTAAGCCGTTTTTAAACCCATATCGTTTCAGGTTTGGGTTTGAGGACCCCTGTGGTTCCTATTAAACCCCTCCCCTATGAGCCCCGAGATCCTAGGGAACCCTTTCAAGCAGTTTGGGGTTTAGGGTTTAGGGTTTGGGGCTTCTCAAACACTGTAAAGGGTTTATGCTTGCATCTTTCTGCCCAGGACGCAGGCCAAGCTCACATCCACGGGCAGGCTTGTCGGCTTGTCTCCCTTGTTCGGCGGTTAAGTCCGGTTAAGCGTAGGGTTCTGTAAGGGTTCAGCGCCGGGTTTGAAGGTTTTGGGGTTTTGGGTTGCAGGATGAGGCTTTGGTTCATAGTTTCTCGAGCTTGAGGGGGATAGGTTCTAGCGACACTGACTCGCGGCTTTAGGGTGTGTAGGGCTAGTCAACAGCCCGATGGATGGGGGGATTGGTATACCATGCATCTTTTGGTTGGTGATGCTTTTGTATCGCTAGTATCCTACAAAAAAACAAGCTGGATAGCCCAAGGAAGAACTACAGCTACGTGTAAGTGCATAGGTATCACACCTTCGAGGTAATGAGTCAAACCATGCGGCCCCGAAAAGACACGACAAAGTGATCTGCGGCCAGCCAGACCTAACACGAGTAACACTACTAAGATCCAAACGACCCGGTGGTTTGGTACAGAAATGTAAATTAGTACGCATGTGGAGTTTATCATAAGTGGCTGCATGAATCTTGGGGGAAAGGTGCGTTGTGCTTTGGCAGAAGATTCGTCTCGTAAGTGCTTCCTGGTTCCATGTTTCCGCTGTGTAGGTTGCACGGTTTGGGGTCTTAGGGTCCCAGACACCCAGACCGGCTGATTAGCCCTAAAGCTTCATGTGCCTAGAGTCTAGTATATGCTTAGACCTAAAAACAGACCCCTATTTAGGTATTTTAATGCCTTCACGTATGCAGCCTTACCTTAAGAACCCCAAACCCATGTTTTTGTAGGTTCTTATCATGGGATTTATAGGGACCCTACAAAAAAGTAGGTTTGGGGTTCTTAAGGTAGGGTAGAGGACCCCAGCCCACTTTTTCATTGTTGCACCTTTACGGGCAGGGCAGGCACCCGTGGCCTCCTGAATCCTACTTGAAGGTTTAGGGTTTAGGGTTTAGGGTTTAGGGTTTAGGGGGTCGGGGGACTTAGTAAATGGCTATTTTATAGACTTATAAGTAGTATAACCCCAATTAGAGTCTCTTTTAGGATACTTCTAAGTCTACTTATCACCTACTTACAAAGTCTCCCGACCCTCCAAGTACATGGGTAGCTCTAAATTAGTATAGCCTTCACTTAACAGGTCGCGGCCTCAGACCCGGTTTGCGGCAACAATTCGGGTCCCTTTTTGAGGTCCCAGATAGGAAGGACCCTAAAGGGGACCCTTATTCATCGAAACTATCCCAATCTCTCAAGGCCAAACCGTTGGCAGGGGATCCTATGATAACCCTACACCCTATAAGCCCTAAACCGTTTCTCGCAGGACAAGTTCACCCCGCAAGACTTCAAGACCCTGCGCCCCAAGCCAACACAGGGAGTTTCCGAGAAAATCTGATCAAGAAGCCAAAACATCCAAATCCTTGTTGCATTTCAGGCAGTTTGGGGGCTATATAATAGTTAACACTAGCTGATGATAGTGTTCCCTTGTAGTAAGGTCTTTACTTTGAAATATACAAAAACCCTGTTCGAGTCATTAAGGCTCCCACAGTATCACAGTATTAAGGTGGGTCGGGGATTCCAGGTTGAAGCAGATGACTTCCGACCAGCTTGCCATGGCCTTGGATTTTGCAGAAAGGCCGGCCGTTTCTGGGGCAAGGATCGGACGGATTCAGGTGTTATAGGGCTTTAGGGTTTAGGCTTCAGGCGTTAGGGCATCAGCATCAATTGCAGGCATCCTTGGTGCTTTGCATGCTGACCAGCATGTATTTTGTCTATGCCTTCCTAGATGTGTATATATATATGTATATATATATATATATATATTATATATAGTATATATATATATATACATACAGAGGGAGCGTGGCTTCGACTGCTCTGTCATGCTGTTTCGGCTGAAGATTCCGTTGTTCAAGAAGTTCGGAGCTTCCGATTCGTGTTGTTACGGGGTCGGAATAATTAGTAACCACGTCCGTTTTCTTAACCAAACTTTGCACCATCCGAAAGAAAGAACCATGTCCGTTTATAGCCCCTGTGTACTTTTTTTTTAATCTTACTATACATATCATGTACCCAAAACCTCATTCCCCGGCCGTTCCCTGGGTGTATACGACCAGTGTGGCCTCTCATGGTGCCACTTCAGAATTCGGTGTCTACACCTTCCATGTCCTCCCCATGGCACATTTCCATCTGATGCACTAGTCGTCCTTAACCCTGCGCCCAACACCCCGATCCAAAGAAGCCCACGAGCACTACACCGATCAATCTTCAGCCCCATTAAGCCTCATACGATTCACTTTGGGTGCAAACTCCCTAAACCTTACCTATAGTATCCATTGTAGTTCCTTTTTGGGGGTTACCTGATAGGACCCTCAATATACAGTTGGTTAAACCAAAAACAGGAACCACAATGGAGACTATAGGTAAACCCTAAACTGTTCGAACCACCGAAGAATTGAAATCGTTAAAGCCCGGAGCTCGCAATTCGGAAGCTCCGAGCCACAACTATAGAACCCAAGCACACGCAACCAACAATTCAAACACAACTTTAAGGCCAAGGCTTGAGGTTTAGGGTTTTGGGTCAAGGATCGCAAACCACAAGCACAACCACCACACGCACAACACAAGGCAAACAAATCGAAAGCATGGGCCGTAAAGCTCCTGCAAACCCTACGAGAATTTAGGGTTTAGGGCTCAGGAATCCCAAAACCCCAAACATCAAACCCACACCCCCAAACCCTGAATCGGGTCCCCTTCAAGGGCTCCCTTTTCAAGGGCTCCCTATTTTTGGGACGTCGAAGTCTCCGCGTTCGGGAGGCTTGGGGACTCCCGGATGACGAGACGGCCCCTGGCTGATGAGCCGCTATGCCTTGTGACAGGGGTCGGATCGGGTTTAGGGCTATAAGGGTTGAGGATCGGGTTTAGGGTTTAGGGGTTTAGGACTTCGTGTTTGGGGGTTTAGGGATTTAGGGTTTAGAGGTTTAGGGTTCAGGGCTTAGGGGTTGAGGGGATTTGGGTTTGGGGTTTAGGAGTTTGGGGGTTTGGGTTCTGGGCTTATGCATATAGGTTGCAAGATCGCAGGCCTGGCGTTGGTAAGGTCTTGGGTGTAAGTAGGACTTATAGGGTGTAGAGTTTTAAGTAGGACTTTTATGACATTCTAGGGTTTTGGGGTTGGGCAGGCATAGTGCTTTGGGGCTCATGAGTTAGGACTTCGGGTATACAATCCTAAACCTCGCAAGCACTCCAAAGAAAACCCCAACCCAAACCCGGAATCCGACGACCCAAGGGCAAAAGATTTTGGACACTTTAAGACCGTAAAGCCTGACCCTAAACCCTAAACCCAAAACCCTGTATAATCGGTAACGAAGTTGCCATTGAGGCCCGTCTTTGCCCATTTCTCTTCCGGCAGACGTCTCGAAGGCCGTATCCGAGCTCTTTGGGTAGTCTTTTAGGGTCTAGGGCTCGGGGGTTTAGGGGTTCAGGCCTTATAAATGTTATATTAATATTGTCCACAAGAAGGAACATGTTCTCCTCCTCAAAGTCTAGGGTAATTCAGGCAGTGAAGGATTTTTGTAGTCCAGCTCCCGAGACACAAGGCCATGCTGCTATCTCTCGCAGTTGACCAAGATATAATACCCATGAGCTTTGAGGGGCATGCACATTTGCAACCGCCATGCTGCCTGCTGCGGCCAGTGAAGACTAGTGGATGTCAAAGAGACCTTCGGGCTTGTGCAGACAGCTTAGACCTGACCTGGGACCCGCATATCGCAACTCTAGAACTGTGTGGGGTTTCGTTGAACTTTGTTTTAAGACGACTAAGTGTCCAAGCAAACAACCGATACCTATTTTTTTTTTTTTTNNGGGGGGGGGGGGGCTCTAAAGTAAGTAAAGAAGCCTTACTTTTGGGCGTAATGTAGCATGTGCTGCAGGCGAGAGCCCACTGAGTCCACGCCGGCGAAGTCCGGTGCTGGCGGAGATGGGTTCTGAGGAGCCCTTGGCAACTGGGCAAGGGAACATAGCAGGAGTCGTCGTAAGAGAATAACGATAAAGAGCTATGCCAGGGTAGATTCCAAATAGTGAACGAGTCGGTCTGCATCACCAGCAGAAGTTTAATGCGAGGCAGAGATGGTTTCGGAATAAATACAAATAGAGGATGCAGCAACCCTAGAAACCTCTGCATTGACTAAGGAAGCAGAGGATCCTAACATAGACCCAAATCTGCGGTGCACGAACCTCCCGGAACTCTGGAACCCTAGACCCCAAGATCGACCTTCAGTGCAGGGAAATCCTTACTTCAGGTCCCAGAACAAGCTTGGTTTTAGGGTTTAGGGTTTAGGTCTAGGCAAACACCTCTTAAAACCATGGGATATAAGGGACACCTGGTCTCCAAACTCAAGGCCGAACGAGGAAGCCCTAAACATGAAATGGTCTACTCCCCCAACGATCGAAAGTATGTATTGTGATGCTAAGTGTCCAGAATTAGTCAGCGCGTGTTATAACCCTTTGTAGAACCCTTCGTATGGGGTCCTCTAGATATCCTTGTACCCTTAGGGCTAAGTTTGCTACTTACTGGTGCTTAAGGGAGAGTGGTGGAGGGAAAATATATAGGGAGGGACTAGTACAGGGATCAACCCTCCCGTTAAACCCTAAGCCTGAAGCACTTAAGCACCAGTAAGTCTAAGACATCCCCTCTGAGGCACGCAGCAACGCGGCCAGGGGCCCGAAGAGGAACCTCGTCCTCGTACAGGCGCTTGTTAGGGTTTACCTTAAGAACCCAAAACCTACTTTTTGGTAGGGTCCCTATAAATCCCATATTAGGGTTTATAATAAGAACCTCAAAAAAAGTAGGTTTGGGGTTCTTAATAAGGTAGGGTTCATAGGGTTGAATGCGTCCCGCATGTTGAGTTTTAGGGTGGGTTTAGGGTCCAGGGGTTTTCACGGCGAAAACTGTTCCGGGCGAGAGAAGCCTGCTGCAAAAAGGGTCCAGGGTTTAGGGTTTAGGAGAAAATAGGCTTTGGGCGATAGGGATCTATGGGGATGTGTGGGGCTTTGCGCAGCTATTTAGCTCCAACAAAAGAGCTCTTTCAGATACCTTCTTTAGAGGGCTTGTTGATTGTATACTTAGTCCTACTTATGTCCAGTTGTGATTAGGGAGCGACGATGTGTTTTGGTATCAGTTTTACGTGTGTGTTTCTGGGACGCTCGTGTCCATGTTGAGATGTGGTATAAGACATGTGTGTTCTTGGCAGTGTGCCATTACAGCAAGTTAGACTGTACGAAGATCCCTCCGACGTTGTTGTTCCTCGCAATGACAACAGTAGCGAATGGAGGGTCATACCAGTCTACTGCTTGTGTACTTCGACGCCTAGGTTAGAGCACAGCGAATTATGACGCATCGCATCTTGCTCGAGCCCATTTCACGCCTAGAGGGGCTCGATTGGCTCACATGAACTAGAACATAAGTCCACTATACTAACATATGGGTGGTTGTCAAAATTATGGTCCCTTTTTGGGTCCTTATTATAATACGGCACCTATTATTTAGGGTACCCCAAAAGGGATCATAATTTTGACAACTACCCATATGCCAGGTGCTGGCGCTCACGCTTGGCTGCTTCGTGCTTGTGATCGCCTGCGGACGACTCCGTCCCACGCATGCAAATATAAGGCGGCCCATAGCCTTAGTTTAGGGTTTAGGGTTTAGGGTTTACTTATGTAGTCTTGCACCCTAAACCCTAAAGGCACCCTAAGGCTGTAAGTTAAGTGAACCAGGCTTTCTTGGCCAGGGCAGAAGTCAACGTTGTCATGTGCATGGGTTCAGCGTTTAGGGTTTTGACTTGAGGATCTTGAGGGCCTAGCCGGTTTAGGGTTTAGGGTTTAGGGTTTAGAGCCTAGCAACCTGAGAATCAAGACCTTACTTAGTCTTGGTTCAGTGGGCTTGTCGTTTCAGGATATAGGACTTAGGAAGCAAGGCCTGAAGCCCCAATTCCCAAAGCCCTAAACCCTAAAACCCTAAAGCCCTAAACCCTAAACCCTGTCACGGAAAAAATCCGAGGTTATGCCGGTTTTTTGGTACGGCCGAGCTGGATGTCGATCCCTGCAAGCCAAGCGGCTGAAGGCAGAAGGGAAGCTGAATGTAGACCGCTTGTTTACGTGCTTATCTGATACCCTAAAGGTCCAAGTAGACCTTATTTATGGTTTGAGGTAACCAAGAAGGCCTCAAAGTCCTTAAAAAATGGGTACTTCGACCCTTAAGGATAACTTCAGCATAACTGCGTAATAGTATTTTCGAATCGTGAATAGTGACCCTTTGCAGTAAGTACTTTTACACTACATTCACTACGTATGCCCCTCCCTTGTTGCAGGCATTGGTCGGTTTTCTCCTGAGGACATCGTTTTCACTGTCATGATCATACGTATATCGGCCTGAATATTATACAATATTTATAACAAGGAGCCCCCAAAACAGTATTCTGATTCTTAAGGCTTAAGGCTCCTACATTTGTTCAAACCCAGGGGGTTGTCACAAGTATCGTTGCTACTTGGAAAGGATGGAACTCATCGCACGTTTCGAATCCTTAAGAAATTCTCCTTACCCGGGGACGTTTGTTTACCACGTGCGTATCCTTAAACTGTATATAACCTCAAAGCTTTACGTCAGACGCCTTGTGTTCTAAACCGTAAGCCGATCATCACTTGGCATGATTAAGTAAACCCTAAACCCTAAACCCTAAACCCCAGGGGCGTCGCACCAGCAGGCCTCAACTTCGTTTCCAGCGTCCACAAGAGCCCGGCCCTTGCGAAAAACCTGGTAGAAACCTTGTGGGAGACTTGATTATAGGCATATATAGGGTTTTTAGGGTTTGAAGTTTACGGTTTCGGCTTTAAGGCTTAGGGCAATTATGTCATAATCACAGGTTTGGAATTTAGATTTTCGGCTTTAAGGCATAAGGTATTCATGACGTCCTCCAACTAGCGAAACCGCACCCCCGCGAATGCTTGTTTATGGGTTGCTTCCCTGCCCATCATCGAAGAACGATCAATGCGTTCATGGCCTCTCAAGCAACTTTCAATAGCTCGAAACTCTAACACCATTTATTAAGTGTATCGTCAGCCTCTATTCATACAGGTCCCAGTACCTGATATTCATAGACTCCCTGCACTAGCCTACATCTGTACCATCCTTCACCCAAGCGCTTTGTTATTGGATCGGTTGAACCCTTAGGGATCTAAACAGCAAGAACCAACCAGACCCTAAACCTTAAGCCGTAACCGTTAATGCTGAACCCAAGCTCTGCCTGGACTCTACCCTCGTAATTTCGGTCAGGCAGCGACAGCACAGCCGCCTGGGTTTCTAGCAAGGACGGTATTTGTCAGGGTTCAAGCGAGCGCGAGAGATAGGGAGAGAGTGAGAGAGTGAGAGAGATCTCTAGAGGGGAGAATGCTTTAGACTTGAGGGTTCAGGGTTAAACGAATTCAACCCTACATCTGTGGAGTTGAGGCTCAGCAAGCTAGGGTTTAGAGAGGAGTCATGTGGCTGCTTGAATCTTAAAGGATTGGGCCCCACAGGATGTGGGGTTCCTGGTAGACCGCTGGTAGGGTTGAGGCTCAGGCAAAGCCCAAGTCACATACATCTGGCCAGTACTTCAAGAGCAGATGTGACAGCTTGTGTGGGGCCTCACTAGTCTTGAAGACAGGCATACGGGTGGTTCTCTAAATTAGGGTCCCTTTTAGGGTCCTTTTTTATAAGGGTGCCGTACTATATTGGGGACCCAAAAAGGGACCATAGTTTAGAGAACTACCCATACAGAATCTGAAGTTGCGAAACGCCTGTATATCCCAAGCCCGGAGCTTTGATATGGCTTTTGGAGGACTGGATCGAGGACGAGACGCTGAAGCTGCCGCTTCCCGTCGCCCAGCTTCTGGATATCGTAGGGTTTAGGGTTTAGGGTTTAGGGAATTTGCGATGGGCCGAACTCGCTTGGGGTTTTTTTGTCGACAGCGTCTGCAGTCCTGGAGGAAGTAGCTTGTCGTGTTGTTAGCTCATAGCTCACAAGCAAAAAGCACCCCACAACAGCCGCTGCAGCAAGCTCCAAACCGGAAGCTGGAGTGTTTGCTTCGTCGGGGCAACTTGCGGTCTCTCTAAAGGAGCTTATTTCGGGTTCACATTTTGAGGGGTGGGGGTCACTGGGGAGTGGATTAAGAGGTGGGGAATAGAGGAAGTCCGAATAGGAACGTCTGACCGCTTCGGCCAGGGCCGAGGCGAATTATCATGGCTTCTAACTGTCGGGGCCCTTGCTTAGTTCCATATGAATAGGTAGTAGAATTAGAGGTTCCCCTTAAAGGGTACCCCTTCTGAACCCTACTTTGGCTCTCTTAAAAGGGACCTTATATTGAGAGGGTCTATATCCCCAAGGGTCCCCCTAATCCTAGCTCCCAATGAAGGGTCAGGCGGCCAGACTCCCAATGCACCGGCAGCTCTCCTGGAGGAGGCTTTCGTCTCGTGTGCTGTATGTGAAGATACTACCCGAAACCCACAAACCTTAGGACCCTAAACCTTGTTTGGGGTACCTCTAAACCCTAAGCCCTGAACCCAAACCTTAAGACCCTGAAGCCCTGAAGCTTGTTTCCCTAAACCATAAACCCAAAACCTTAAGACCCTAAAACTTGTTTGGGGTATAAAATCTCGTTCCCTCCGGAAGTCCTGAAGCAGATCGGGGTGTAGGGCCCTGGGGTTCAGAGCCCCGGGTTGAGGGAGGGAGGTTGGTATTGAACAAGAGAAATCTGCAAGCTGCGGAAATAGTAGCGGAAGCCAGTTTCGGTAATTATCTAAACCCTAAACCCTAAACCCTAAACCAGTAGTTTCGGAACCTCCAGAGTCATGATTCGCATTCCTGTCACAGACTCCTGTGTGGTTGCCACACCGTCCTGTGCCCTGCACATTTTCGACTCGACTCAACAAACACCGTCTTATGATTCATGAGAAGTAGAAATGAAACCAAACGGGTCGTGGGCCTGCGCCCTCACGTCACCCAAAAGCCCTAGAGCCCGCAAGATGAAATTCTGAGTTTCTGCCGGCGGGGCTCAGGAGAGCAACAGCGATTCAGAAGTGATGAAGGACTGGCACGACGAGGCCGCGTTTAGGGCTCCAGGATTTGGGGGCGGCAAAACAGGCCGTTTAGGACAAGGAGCTTTGGGATTTGGGGTTGGCGAGTTGGCACTGTTGGGGCGAGGTGTGCGAAAGTTTGCTGCTTCAGGATTTGTGTTAGGACGATAGATCCGGTTCAAGCTGCTCAGTTACAGATCCTGCCATCAAGAGAGTGTGACCGTCTTCCAGATCTGAACTAAGAATGCTGTGCGGTGACGGGTTCAGGGCGCAATAGCTCATAGCAGGGGCAGCAGCGACAGCAATTGTGGTGTACGACCGTCATCGTTGAGTTTGTGGTGGTTGGGTTTCAAAGAGGCTGGTGGCTTCCATGCTAAATCGTCTTGCATCGCAGGCCTTACAACCCATAACCTTGTAGCAAGACCCTTATGGAACGCTTGTAGAATCGAACCCATTTATAGTCCGTAAAGCACGCTGAAAAAGCCCTTATACTAACCGTATAACCAACATACTGAGTCGAACCGTTGAATTGCAAGGAGCTCATGAAACCCGAAGAAGGGAGAGCCATCGAGCATGCGATCTACACACCCGACGGCAGCCCTGCGTCCTGCCAGAAACGGTTTCGATCCCTACCGGTATCTCCATCTCTACCTCTATCTCTATCGTTATTTCTATATCGATCTCCATCTCTATCTCTATATCTGTAGATCTTTCCGTTGTTTCGATCTATCTAGCTGTCTACTATCTACCTGTCTATATATTTATCTATCTGTCTGTCTTTCTGTCTATCGATCTATCGGTCTATATATCTGTCTGCCTATCTGTCTATCTATCTATCTATCTATCTATCGATCTCTCTATCTATCTATCTATCTATCTATCTATCTATCCATATGTCTATCTATCTATCTTTCTATTTCTCTCTCTCTCTCTCT